CTAGGGAGGTGGATGAAAGTTCCAAATTAGGAACTTAAACATTAACCATTTGTGACAATAAAACTACTTAACTGCAAATCCAGGAGTGCCAGCAAGTTTTCTATTTTGCTGTCTACACATGTGGCTTGACACCTAGTGTCATTTGGCTGGAGGTAAGAGTGCAAAGGCTTGGATTATACTATATATATAGTCCAAAAGAATGAAGGTGCACTTCAAGGGATTTTTCTATGAAAATATTGGTGCTCTTTATTGCATACAAGCAAACGTATACAAAGTCCCGATTGACGTTTCGACCCCTCTCTGGGTCTTTCTCAAGATCAACATGTGATTGGTGTAAGTGCAATATATATACAATAAAATTACAGTAACTTACCAATCCAAAGTAATGCTCCTCTGTGTACCCGAACCCAGACGTGCTCAAGCGGGACATGTGACTCCTCCGTGATGTAATGACGTGCTATGTGCCTTACACACTCCGTGCGGTTGCTAAGTGACACTACAACAACCGATGGGGGACGGCTCTATTGTGCAGTGACATGTGAGTATGGGTGAATGAAATGTGAATAGAAATGACAATATAAATATAAAGGAAAAAAACAACAACTATGGAGGACAAACTGCATCGAAATATGTAATGCTGCCCCGGGCCAGGGAACAAACAACCAAGACATGCATGAAAATGAAGTAAAAACTGTGAAAACTACTAAGTGAACAAATCAAACAAGCAGTGTAACCCCCATAAACATAAGAAATATTCTATAATCTAAACTTAATGCCAATAAGCTAGCAAAACAGGGCAAATACATTGCAATCCATGCTAAGAATAAACAACAATAATAATGTGGGACATTCCCATAAAATATACAGTAGACAAATCATAGGACAGGTGGCTACAGTCTAAACCAATGCAACATATATATGTCGGTAAACAGCATAAAGACTTAGGCAATACAGTTTGTAGATAGAAATAACAGATACGTGTGGGAGAGATGAAATACAGAATACAGGTATAAGTAGTAGGTAGGTTGAGCAGACCTGTGCTAAGTATACCATCCAAACCAAGAATTAAAAATAATAAAGGTTAGTCAAATGAGCCAAAATGAATAATGTAAATTCTAGATCCTGGAACCCAATGAGGATAAATCAAACAAAAAGGTATCACGGCCGAACGGGAGCAAAACGTACTATAACTGGTACCAATGAGGTACAGCAATATCAAAAAGGAAAACTTTTTTTACAATCTAAATAAGTGTGAACATAAGGTATGTGTGTATATAAGCGTAAACATTGGCACATTTTAAGACAAAATGAAGACCTGCACACTTATATAGGAGATAAACCACGGGTAGTATACAAGGGTGTGAATAATTTTAAAAGTATTTTAACCCATAGTGTGATTCCTAAAAAATAGTGCCGAATAACAATGTACAGGGAAATGTTTTAAAAGGTTTCTACAACTGTGGTAGTTGCAAGGCTTGTAAGTCCAGTAGAATTTCAACTAGAAAAACAGAAAAGTTTCAGTCTAATGTAACTAAAAAAAGAATATAATGTTAAGGAATTCATAACTTGTAATTCTAATAAAATTATTTACTTATTAACGTGCATATGCGGCTTACAATACGTAGAGCGCACTACTCAATTACTGAAAGTTAGAATTAGTGAACATCTGAGAAATATACAGAATGGGATCTTCGATTTGGAAACCTTCTCTCCTAAAGGGTTAAATATTGATTTTGATATGTATAACTATATTTAATTTGTATGGGTTATTTTAATGTAGTTTTTTTTAAACAATATGAATTATATAGATACTTTTTTTTAAAAGATATATGAGTGTTTTTATAATAAATATTATATTTGTTTTCTCTTTATTTTATTTATCTATGGAAATTTTTTATGGACATTAATTGGACTATTTGCCGAGATTTTAATGCTGATACTGACAACATTTATATACTTGGACGGCACATATCATCGTTGGAATGCATGAGCGCGCTGTTTGGTAGCACGTGGAACGCATACAATCCGGAAGTACTGTTTGTAATGTAAAACTGGAAGTAGTTGGATGCGGCTACGGCAACTCCGAGAGACCAAACGGGAGGAAGAGACTACAAACGGGAGGAAGAGACTGCCAATTGGCTATTAGGCATAGGGGGCGGGTTCTAAGTACCCGTTTCCCGTGCCATTTGATGTATTTAACTTTGATATTATTGCATCTGAGGAAGACGAGTGAGTTCGTCGAAACGCGTTGTGCCTTTTGTACTTACCTGAGAACGGCATTACTACAATTTTCATGTAAGATTTTATATATACTTTGTAATAAATTTGACAATGTGCTTTTTAATTGGTGTGCCCTCTCTGTACCTCTTATTTTGAGGAGCAAGCTGCATACAATTGGAATATCCTTCAGATTTCTTTACAAGTGTTACTACCTGAGCCAGTTTTCCTTAAACAGGCTCTCAGAAATGTGATTTGGACCATATAGATACCTTATAAACACTTCTATCACTTTTCAGTGTTACGCTATGAGTCTGTTCATTTTTATCTAGTTATAGGTATTGTGCCATTGATTTCTTCAAACATCTGGGCTTACTACCAACTGACCCTGCTGATATTTAGGGTATATATTGGCATCATCTTTACATTGGTTATATATATCATCACTGTGTATGCACTGCATCTCACTTGGGGTATTACCTATTCTGTGCTGCACACCATTTTATTGTTTAGATACAATTAAGAGAATATCAAGCAAAAGAGAATATATGTAAATGTATAGAAATGCTTCTGAAGATGTATCAGTGAATATAAAGATAGTGTGAACATAATAAAACTAATAATGTATATCCACGAACAATGGCAATACACCCTTGAGACCACTGTATGCCACACTGTACAAAAGTATGAGAAGAATAAAAAAATTTAAAAATGATTCAAATACCCCAAAAACTAAATAATAACAAAAAATGACAAAAAAGTAATAACACTAAAAAATGAAAAACCTACCAATATGAAAACAGGCAAAATAGCCAATGTAATAGAAGGATGGGACTGCGCCAATAGACAGAAATGAAAAGTCCTTATTAAAATATGGAAATAAAGTCCAAATGTAATAAAAAACTTGGTATTATGTTCGTCTCTGTAGTTTTGTTCCTTCCTGGTATATGAAGGAGGGTGATGAATGATGAGGTGGTGTGGAGTGATCCAACGGGTATCCAAATGAAAAAGAAGGGGTAATACTCACTTTTAGTAGAGCTTAATCCAGCTCTGGTGTGGATGGCTTGCAGCGGTATTATCCCCGCTTATAGGATATATGGTGAGCTTCCTCTTCAGTATGATGACCGGCAACCAGGTAGAAGATGAAACGAAAAAGCAATAATAGTGCAATATGTCCCAAAAAGTAGATAAAAGGTATAAAAATATAAAAGATACACTCACATTTAATAGAGCTTATACTAGCTCTAGTGTAGTAGGCATGCAACGGTATGATCCCCCGTATCTGGGATATGCGGTGAGCGTTCGTTGGTACAGTTCTTTAGGGTGGTAGCAGGAGCTCAGGAAGAAGATAATAAAACAGCAATAGTGCTCTCAGTAAAATAATGCTGATTAATAAAATAAAATAAAATATACTCACAGTATATAGGGCAGACTAACTGCTCTATGGTATAGGCGCGGGTGGTATGATCCCCACCTCAGGATGTGTTGGAGTATTGACGACAATAAATAAAAAAGCCAGGTATTTTAAAATAAAAAATAAAAATAAATAAAAGATAGTGGTACAAGAGAATAAAGTGACCAAAATCTATTTATTGACAATAATTTAAAAAATATATTAGTATAATATCCAAACGCGTTTCACCAATATAGGCTTTATCAATGGATTAAAAAATAGCCAATGTGACAAAAAACCTAATTGACCCAAAAAATACAAAAAAAAAATAATGTACCAGAAAAAAATATATATGTGTGTGTGTGTGTGTGTGTATATATATATATATATATATATATATATATATATATATCTATAAAAAAAAAAAAACTTAACAAATGTGTGTCCTCAACCAGGTACTTCAGGGCAGAAAAAAGGCAAAAAACAGGCCAGAAAATTTTTGGGGGAAAACAAGATCACAGTCTGTAAAACTTAACCCTAATACATGAATATGCTGTCATAGTACTTCCATTCCGTTGCCTGTATAATACCTAGATCTATAAATACATGGAATAAGAGAATTTAATTCACCAATACTCACATGTCACTGCACAGTAGAGCCACCCCCGCCGGTTGTTGTAGTGTCATGTAGCAACCGCACAGAGTGTGTAAGGCACATAGCACATCATCACATCACAGATGAGTCACGTGTCCCGCTTGAGCACTTCCAGGTTCGGGTACACGGAGGAGCATCACTTTGGATCAGTAAGTCACTGTAATTTTACTGTATGTATATTGCACATACACCAATCACATGTTGATCTTGAGAAAGACTCAGAGAGGGGTCGAAACGTCGATTGGGACTTTGCATACGTTTGCTTGTATGCAATAAGGAGCACCAATATTTTTATTGAAAAATCCCTTGAAGTGCAACCTCATTCTTTTTGGACTATTTATCATACGCGGATTGCACCAGGATAATGAGTTTTTGTTTTATTAGTTAAATGCCAAACCTTTGTTATATATATATATACATTCTCCGTAAATTTGGTCTACTGGATACTGCTCTCTCCTGGTGCTCCTCCTACCTCTCCCAGCGCTCTTTCAGTGTTTCTTTCTCTGGCTCTGCCTCTTCTTCCTAACCCATCTCTGTCGGCGTCCCCCAAGGTTCTGTCCTCTGCCCTCTAATGTTCTCTATCTATACTGCCTCCCTTGGTAAACTCATCAGCTCCTTTGGCTTCCAATATCATTTATATGCAGATGAAACGCAAATCTACCTGTCCTCCCCTGATCTCTCTCCGCCCACCTTGACTCATGTTTCTGACTGCCTCTCTACTATTTCCAACTGGATGGCTGCTCACTTCCTTAAACTTAACCTGTCCAAAACAAAACTTCTAGTTTTTCCTCCCTCAAGTGCTGCTACTCCTGTGTCTGTCTCCATCCAAGTCAACGGCGCTACTATCACCTCTACCTCGCAGGCTCGCTGCCTAGGGGTTTTGATCTCTCTGATCTCTATTTTACTCCCCATATCCAATCAATGGCCAAATCCTGTCGCTTCCAACTCCAGAACATAGTTCGCATCCGCCCATATCTAACGCCGGACGCGGCTAAGGTACTGGTTCATGCTGTTGTTCTCTCTCGAATGACTACTGCAATCCCCTTCTCAACGGTTTTACATGCTCCCAGCTTGCACCGCTGCAATCTATAATGAATGTGGCTGTGAGGCTTATTTTCCTGTCCAGTCACACCTCCAACGCCTCCACGCTCTGTCAGTCCCTGCATTGGCTTCCAGTTATATATAGGGCCCAATTCAAAATTCTGGCGCTTGCTTACAAATCCCTATATAATGCTGCTCCAACATACCTATCCTCCCTCATACACAAGTATGTCCCGTCGAGACCCCTGCGCTCAGCCCAAGACCTACGCCTATCTTCTGCCCGGATCCCCACCTCTGATGCTCGCCTTCAAGACTTCTCCAGGGCTGCACGTATTCTGTGGAACTCCCTTCCCTCCTCAATCAGACTTTCACCCAGCCTCCACTCCTTCAAAAAATCTTTGAAAACTCACTTCTTCATTAAAGCGTATCAATTAAACTGTCAGCAGGTTTCTCATCCCCCACCCCATGACTCCTTTCCTGCAACTGTCAAAAATGACCTACCAAGCACTCAATAAACCCTTCTCTAACAAACTATGTAATTACCCTACTTTAACCCTTTGTGTCACTATACCCCACTCCCTCTAGCATGTAAGCTCATCGAGCAGGGCCCTCAACCCCCTCTGTTCCTGTACGTCCGGTGGTCTGATCTCAATTATGTGTCTGTTAGTCCACCCATTGTACAGCGCTATGGAATTTGTTGACGCTATATAAATAATAAAATAATAATAATAATAATGGATATATATATATATATATATATTTATATTAAATAGCCACTTTTAAAGATAATAAAAATAAAACATTTTAAATTAAAATGTTCTACCTTTGAGGTTTTGAGCTATATTTAATTGTTCTTGCTACAGATTTAATATTTTATTCAAATTATAAATTAGCATTTTATCTGGACCTAAATTGAAGTGGAAAGCATTTTAAAATATACAAGTTGATGAAGCAGCACAAATCTAGACTAAATATTAAATTTTTTATTTTGTTAATAATACTGTATAATGCAATTTTCTAAATCTTTTTTTTTTTCTTCATTTTTTAAGATCACTGACTAGTTATTTAGCAGCCCAAGCTCTATGACTAAATACCTTGGGCTTTTATAATGAATGCTTGTGCTTAACTACATTTTACATATCCCGATTCATTCTTTACACTTAAAAAGCTATATATTGCATATCAGTGTAGCATAAATCTAAGAATTTATTTAGAGATTGCAAAACAGTTCAAAGGACAAGAAAAGTATTATTAGAATCTAGGTGTAGTAGAACTGGAAACAAGTGCATAATACAAATGTAAGTGATGAGTTTGGTAAAGGTGGGAGATGTAATCAAAATAAAACATGTTTTAAGAGACTACATACAAATACACTGTAGTTATTTAAAAATATTTCTAGCAAAGTGAAATCTGCTTAATCATAATTTTTCAAGGATTATCTTTAATAAAACTTTTCACTTTTTGAGTTTTGAACACTAATGTCAACTTGATGGAAAATAGTACATTTTTCATTTTCACTTTCTTTGTGACAATTTATTTAAACATTGTGTCAAAAAGGGCAATTGTGATAATCACCTCTCCCATATTTGATTGGATACCAGTTATAAAACCAAAAAAATATATACTTTAATTGCACATTGACTATACTTATAATTTGTATTATACTATAATACTATAATTTATGGTGCAAGAGAAATAATAGTATTTGTTGAGTTGCCGAATTTAGCCTTTTCTTCTAGTTTTCAAGGATGCCTTTACAAAGAGATGTTATTATTACCCAATCCATTGTACTCTTTTTATTAACTTTGGAAAGGTAAAAGAATGATTTAACTCTGCAAAGAAATGAAATTGTTAAAACAAGCAATTTGTCATGTTACTCTAATTAGGTTGTTCCAGTGTTTTGTTGGAAGCTGATATGTTTTGACTGCTTCAAAAGGATATGAAAGAAATATGGAGATATGCCCAGCATAGGTGAATGAATAGTATGGGGCAATCGCCAAAAAGGGTTCCAAAAACATGATCAAGAATTTGCCAAGTAATGTTAGTAAAGTAATGCAAAAGACATCCATAAAATCAAAACTATATGTTTGTCTGAGACTGAAGCACAGTCTCAAAATTTTGAACACAAAACCAAGCATCTACTTATTTCTTCTGATTTATTTACTTATTTCTTCTGATTTATTGCTCTGGCCTGATTAACATAGGAGATATTGAAACTAACTCCAGGTCCAAGCATTGCCGTGGGAACATGTTGTTTATTTTTCTTGACTGCTGCTTCTTTGAAATACGGGAAGCCAAACTCATAACTTGAAGCCAAGATGTCATATAAATTGTCCTTGGACTGGGTAAGCATCATGAGAAACACTGACTATAAAACATTAAATACAAAGGTAGTTTTGGAACTGAATATAAAAATCTAAATCCGATCTGTGCTGCCGTGATTAAAAACTGGAGTGGCTTAGATGTGCCATGGCCCATTCATAAAAGCTCATAATCTCTTCTTCGAGTTCATTGCACAAAGCCTTTCTTTGTCCTGTTCATAGGATGGACTTCCTGTGCCCCGTTAACCATAAATGACTCTTGCGCCTAATGTTTTCCAGTGAATTTCTCTGTGGATTTGTTTGTGAAGATTAATTTTATATGCTTGAAATGTCCACTTTATTAATGAACCAACATTCTAATTTAGTTTTTGGGCCAGAGTAATTTTCAGATCCAGATCCATAAAGACCCTACTCCAGTGCTGCTTATTACTTATGGTATAACCAAACCCCTCTATGTTCTATGTAATGAGTAATTAGGGAATTGTGATGAGGAATTAGGTAGTAATTTTGTGAAGCAATAACAATTTGAATTAGTAGTTTTAGGGTGTATGCTGTCTCTCTCAGATCTATTGCTAAATAAATGGATGTAGAATAATCTCTAAAAATGTATAACCCACTAATACAAACAAAATAAAAATGGAAAATGGAGAGATTTTGTTTTTTACCTGTACATACTCACTTTATACCCAATTTGGTATTTTGTCCTAACCTCATATGATAATTAATATTTAAACATTTAAACATAAAAAATTAGGAAAACTATGCAAAAGCATTAAGAAAGGTAAAATAAAAGTTGTTTACAAGATCTGACAGAAATATGAGTCATTCATGAGAATAAAAATACCCCTTAAGGGAGAAAAGTGTGATGTACAAATGGTTATTATTATTATTGTAATCATATACTAAATTTAAAAATGTAATTAAATATGTACTATTATAATGTGACAATATCTTAGCAGGTATATGTTTTAAATATATAATATTGGAGAAATACCCATAGTGCTCTATGTCTGTTAATATGGTGTTTTAGTTCCTAGTAGCAGAAATGATCAATTTTCCTAAAAATACATGGAGAAAAAATAAATCTAAATATAGGAAAAGTATATCTATGGAGGATGTAAATCCATTGGAATAATGAATAAAACATATGCTTACACAAATATATAGCAAAACAAATATAACGCAAGTAAGGGACCACTGAAAAAATAATAGAAAAATGCATTATAAAAAAAAGTAATTGCTGTGAGTTCATATCAGATATGCATTGTGAGTGCTATAAATATTCTCAGACCCACTAATGATGGTAATGTGCAGACAATTTGTGGAAAATGAGCCAGTTCATGAGTGCATAATACCCAAGCATTAGACAGCATATAAGATGCTAAATGGACAGTAAATGTACCTGGCCTTCTAATTTATGGCAAACACTGTTCCAATATTATGATCTATGGACAGACACAGAATGAAATGTTATTACTATCTTATAGTGTATTTGTATATATGAAATAGGACAGATTGATAGGACAGATTGATCTAGTTTCAATAATTAATGCAAACTGCACTGTGCCCAAATGGCATCACTAATAAGTTTAGGTGTATATATTATTATCCACCTCCAAGTTCACAATTACTCTTTTTTTTCTGTTCTCACTACAATGTTCCTGTAAGAATGTCCATGAAAATTTGTTGATTTACTAGATATGTATAGTCTCTAAAATATTGTAAAATATTCAAATAGAAATATATAATACTATATATTAAATTACTAATGTTTAGGTTGGTGGTTCCAAAACCACTCCTCATGACCCTGCAACTATCCTGGGTCATTAGATTCCTGTTCACGGCCTTGGTAAAGAGTTTGGGACAGGGATATATTTGAGAAAAAATTAGTTGGTCTTAGACTGATGGCATGCAGCTATGTATGTGATGCCTAGTTAATGTGTTATATATTCTGGAAAGATCCTAAAGTAAAAGCTTATCAAAACCCAGCAGGACCTAAAAGTAGTAAATAATAGGACATAGATTCGCTAAGGGAGATATTACAAACGAAAAACTGAAGTTTCATTCCAGAGTGCATTTAGCAAAGGGCTTGTCCAGACAAAGGTAATGATTGATCCCTTTGTACGTCATATAGGAAGTCTGCTATGTAGTTTTCAGAGTCCGTTTTACAATATGATCCGTCCACTAAATTCGGATTTAGAGGGGGAAAAACTTTTTAAGGTTGACTAAAAGCTGTTGGAAGCTGATTCATAATTGATATATTCAGTAACAGTCAATTAATAATAATTAGAAAATATAATAATTTACTGCTGCAAAAAAAAAAGTAATTTATTCAGTTTTTATTTGTTTCTAGACAAAATAAATTATCTTTTAAAAAAGTTGCTTTCCTCCTATTTTCATCTGTACTTCAGTTCCAAAAGGTTGTATCACCCTAAAAGTTGACACTAAGTATGCAAACATGGGAACAGATATTTAGATGCTCCTGAAAAAAAGGTGAGCATACACCTTTTCATATTTTTAAAGTATTTTATTTTATATTGATACCTAACCTACGACACAGAGATTGTTTCTCTGTCCTGTATCCCTATAAATATCATTGTAGATCTATACTGCAGATCATGTGTGCCATATAGCCAATTACTGCTGGTCCACACAACCT